GACTGTGGCCAATCAAAGCAAGTTAGGAAAAGGACCAGAGTTGGAGGGGTGGGGACACACAAGTTGGGTCAAGAATAGAGGGTGATCATTTTCTTTAGTGGTGCAGGCACTGGCAAGATGCCCAAATACAGTGACTAGACTCCCATTCAGGCACACCCAAGGAATCCCCCTCCTCTCTCTCTCTCTCTCTCTCTCTCTCTCTCTCTCTCTCTCTCTCTCTCTCTCTCTCTCTCACACACACACACACACACAGTGATACACTGAACATCACTCTCTGTCCTCCACATGTAAACACATCCATACATGAACACATCTGAACACATCCACAAATATCCATAGTGCACAGGCACACACACATGAACACTTACATATACCACATAAAGACACAATAAAATAAAGTTTAAAGGAAGAAAAAATAGGGCAAGGATACAACATGACAACATCATGAAACAGTGTTGCGTCAAATCAAGTATCACCCAATCTAAACAGCTCTACAGTTGAAGCCACATTTAGTAATGAACAGCTATTTCCAAGAGCACCTCAAGCCTGAAGCTCACCACTCAAGACCCTTCATAATCTGAGCAAACCTCTGTTTCCATATTCCTTTTCCCTTAAGGATTTTATTTTAATCAAATTGGATATCACAACAATTCTCAAATCCCTTGTACATTCTCCCTAGATAGGAATGATCTCATGTCTTCTGCTCATTCTGGAAAGCCCAGGCTCACCCCCACTAAAACTGGGGTTGCCTTCCAAGGCCTTCCATGAACCTCTACCTAAGAATTGTTTCCAATCCAAATTCCATGGAATTTTTTTTTGGCATTCACCTTTACCACAGCTTTCACCACATGTGAGTTTTTTTTTTTTTTTTCAGGTATTTGTCTTGCCACCTTTTTACTCTGCACCGGGTTTTCATGAGGACAGGAACTGCATTCAACTATGATCATTGCAACTACTGGGCAAAGGCCACTGTGTTTATGTCTTTGCATGCATTATTCTTAACTCATTGGCAGCCTATTGGTAGGTATTTTAAATCTTATTTTAAATGAGAAATGTCAAACAAGGGAAACTCAGTTGTATGTCAGGAGACACACAAGTTTTAAATAGAGGGTGTATGCTCTTTCTCTAGATCTCTTGTATCGCAGAGAAAATGATAGACAAATAGATGGGTTTCTGTCCAAGGGGAAGGTTCTGTTTCTGTCCCACCTGGCTCCATAGATAGAGTAGATGGGTAGTTCCTCATCCTCCATGGAGAGGTCTACAAGAGAAATTATCAAGCACATGTAGAAGAAAAAAACTCCTAAGTACTGTGAAGGAGACATATCAGTCATCATTTTCCCACACATTCCCTCATTGCAGTCTAGGCACCGAGTCCCCTGCAATCTTGAAAATAATCCTTGGAGGACCAAGTCCAAAGAAAAAAGGAGACTGGATGTCCCAAGCAAGGTTTCCTATTAGTAAGGTCAATGTTTACTCGAGACAGGAAACCCCACATCCTGAAACCTCATTCATTCACAATCCATAATAAATGATGTTCTTGGAACCTCATTTGAGAAAGGCAATCAGCTATACACATTTTGGCAAAGCTGCAGATCTGGGATTCAGTTTGAACATAAAATAATAAAGTATGAATGCAAACAGCAAACATGTGCCCACATCACAGCTCAGAGTGTGCCAAAGCTGACCTAATCATTATACATTTTTCATGATTCAATAAGGTTCTTAACTGGCATTTCATGGGACACTGCTGGATGAGGGCTTGTGACATCAGGGCTGGCACACAGTCCACATCCTGCGACCCTGGCAGCTCCCCATCTTCCCCATTAGCTCAAACCATACAAAGAGACAAGAGCAGGACAAAATGAGACACCTTCCTTTTTTCCAAGTGTATTGGACTCCACCCAAGAAAGGGCAGGTTTATGAAGGATGTGGAGAATTGTTCCCAGCATCCCAGGATTGGGTATTCCTCTAGGGAAATCACCCAAACCACAGTCATTTGGACAGTCATGTACAGTTTACGTGTGCTTTTTCAAATATGTTCTTTTAACCCTTACCCTAAGTGCTTAGGGACCTGTTTTTATTTTCCTCCCTACCCACACACATCTATAGATCCATAGAGGGATGACTAGGGAGGTCAAGCGACTTGCATAAGGATAAACAGCTGGCAAGAGCTAACTAAGGTTGGGCCACAATCCCTTACACCTCTTACACCGGTACTTCAGATGTCTCCCCTTCTCCCTGAAGATCCCCATCAGTCTAATTTTCTGCCTTAAACTGGAGTTGTCAAGGCCAGGAACTTAGAAACTATTCAGCAGAAAACTGATTCTCATACTCCAGGTAGAAGAAAGCTGAGTTCAAACTGAAACAGGACAAAAACCATTTGTCTCATCCGGTTTGCACTGAGAAAGATAACAGATCAAAAGAATATTTCATGATGGTCAGGGTTATGCTGAGATTCCAAAGAGGTGATATCCTCAAGGAAGGGAGCTTCCAGAATTGTAAGGCATAGTGGGGGCATCTGTCACATTGAGTATATTCTTTTTAGCCCTGTTCTCTTTTGTCCTGCCCTGGTAAAGTTCTGGGAAACTGTTCAAACACAAGGAAACTCAAACCTAAGTTTACCTCTATTCATCTTCCCCAGAGGTTTGGAAAGCTATGTGAAACCCTCTTCTGTCTCTCACTTTTGTGTATGATGAAGAAGGGGAGGGAGTTGAATTGGCAAGTTCTTGGAAATTCCTAATTAGGAGTATTCCTGCTTAAGCTCTTCCAGAAGCCTTTGGTAGCCTCTAGAAAATAGAGTCTAGATAAAGCAAACCTGGAACAGGCATTGGAACAGGGCATCAAATCCATCATCCAACTCCAGGCTTTTTCTGAGTTCATTTTTTTAAAAAAGAATTTGATAGTTCTAACTTCTACAACGGAGCTACATACAGGGCTCTTAGAAGTACTGGGGGGCGGGGGGCGGGTCAAGCCAGCTCAAGTTGGCTCAAGTCAAGTGTGCCACAACTAAACTAACCGTCAGGAGACACACACTGGTGTTATTTTAATGTTCTAGTTAATTGGAAACTAAGTAGGGCCTAGTGAAAATAATTAAATCTTTCTCTGATAATGGAGAATTGTGCAGTGCCCTAGAGTGTTCATTCTAAATATCAATTATAAATCCCCTCTGGGAGGAAGACAGAAGATGAGGCTAAACCTGCAGTGGCTTCTAGCCACCTGCAGGACATTCATTTTCACTGATGCCAGTCTATCAGCATCCTTCTTTCCCTAGACAGCTAGAGTGAGGAAATTCTAAGCAGCCAAGGCTTTCGCTCCTGTGAGAAACAGTTCATCAAGAATTCTATATAACTTCAGAAATTACAACAAAATTGAGAACATTAACTTGTAATACCTGGCTGTCAAAGCACCTAGCCACGTAAATGCTTTTAAGCTATACTTCATCAGTTTGTTTTGAGGTTGATGCCCACCTTCCACACCCCTGACCCAAATATGTCCTTGCCTTGTACGCATCACATACAATGAGACAAATGACACTAAAGAACTAGACTTTGGGTCTGGGGAGATGACTCAGTCAGTAAAGTGCTTGCCATACAAACATAAGTGCCTGAGTGTGAGCTCCAGAATCTATACACAAAAGCCAGGCATGGTGGCATGTGCTTATAGCCCCAACACTGGGGTGATGGAGCCAGGCAGGTTACTGTGATTTGTGGCCAGCCAACCTTGCTGAATCAGCAAGCTCTGGATTCAGTAGGAGACCCTGTCTCAAAAAGCAAGGTGAAGAATGATAGGTACCCATGATTGACCTCTGATGTCCACATAGACATATGTACATGGACATATGCACATGCTAAATACAGAAGGGAGAACACAAAAAGTATACACACAAATGGATTTTAAACTTCCTGAATGCTAGCCAAGGTGCTCCTTTTCAACAGTCATGTGATATTGCAAATCCCACTCCATTCACTTCTAGGGCTTACTCTACTCTGTATAGTTGTTCCTCGACATTTTAGGAACGCCAATTTCCTTCAAGTGGCAGGAGGAAGAAGCAAACATTTTTCACAGCAGGAGGAAAGGAACACATGCAGAATGTGTACAAGTCTAGTCCCCCTGCTCTGGACAGCTGTCTTCATGACTTCTGTTCATAACATTCAGGTTCCAGCCTCCCAGGGTAGAGACCCTGCAAGGCTCTTGAGCACAGATTACCACTGAATTCCACCAAAAAAAAAAAAAAGACAAGCATCTTCCCAAGTAGTTCTCAACCCAGGAATTTCCAAACTTTTAATGATGATTTTTACCCAGAACGATGAATCCACGTCTTTTTTTTGGGGGGGGAGGGAGGCAGTAGCATTGTAAACATCACTATTTCCACTGTACAAACACTTTTGCAAAACACTGCCCTGGAAAAGGGCTTCTCAAAATTACCAGTGAATAGCATCACCATGGAGAAAGCCAATTCCAAGGCTTCAGCCCCTGATTGGTTCCAATGCCTTCTGGCCACATCTGGCCTGAGAATATACACAGTTAGCATCCTGGGCTAGTCTAATGCAGAATGCAATTTGGAAGCTTATTGAAGAAACCATTTAGCAGGAGAAACCCAAAAGAAGTCCTCTCCCTAGTCACTCATTTCTCCAACACAATTCTCAAGGTTTTTAGCCTCGTTCAATAGCTTTACTAGACATCCTTCATTTACCAGACAGGCTCTCCAACCCCTACCCCACCCTGCTATGTTTCCTATATCTAGCAAACCTGTATCTTTTAGCCAGAGCCTTTGATCCCACCAGGTTCAATAATTTAAGCAGAACAATCACCAGCATTGTTGCGTTTAATATTTAAACACCGCAGCATCACTTAGGGCAGCTTCAAGGTGAGAGCTGGTGCCTATGCAGCTGCTGGCTTAGCAAGCCAGGCCACTGACTGCCAGAGGGGACTGAGTGTTCATACACCAACACAGGCCAGCACGGTAAAGGCAAAAGCCCACTGGACTGTGCACTTCCTACCTGAAGTGTGTGCAACAGCACCTGCAGGCCACTGCCTTCTTGTTCAGCCATCTCTGCGCAGGTCCTGGGACACCAGTGCCTGAGGCTGGATCCTGGCTAGAGAGGTTGATACCTGCCAGGCTGACCTCGCTGCCCGCCTTGCAGGAGACTGCTGTGCAGAGGCCTCAGCTCCACATGCTGCAGAGTGTGAAGTTACCACTGTGCAACCTTAGCCTTCAGCACAGGCGTGGATGCCCCCTGACTCCCACTGTGGGGATTAGGTGAGCCCTGGCTCTGGGAAGGGCTGAGCATTTGGATGTAGGAATGGGGAGGGCACCCTCATGAGTCACTCACCCACCTCCAGACCCATACAGGAGCCTAGAGGAAAAGCCACCCTGGATGGTTGACAGGCATTCCCAGCTGACCTGGTCAGAGTCCCTGCAGAGGTTCACACGCCTGCCCCACCCCCACCCCCACCTCACCCCACGCACACACTTATTTTGGTCTGTTGCCGGCTCCTGGTTGTAACAGGAGACCCAAGAGTGCTTGCACAACTGTGGCAGCTCAGGGCACAGAAGCCCAGGGCCCCCTGAGGTCCCAGGCTTAGGGAACAGAAGCTCTAGCCGAGAAGAAAAATAACCATCCTGGACATTTTTATGGAGCAAGTCTCTTATAGAATTCTTTCATTTAAACAGTAACTATGGGGAGGTAAGTTTTATTATCACTTTGTTTTTCAGATGAGGAAACCAAGGGAAAGAGATATTAAGTGTCAGGAGCATAGAGTTTGGGAATTTATGCCTGGCCACAAACAGCCAAGCTTGCAAACGCTACCACAATTCCGCCTGCTGAAGCAAGCAAGCATTCTTCAAAGCAAGAGACCAAAAAGGCTGGGATAAACACACACACACACACACACACACACACACACACACACACACACACACACACACCTCCCAGGTGACACTTCCTACAGAGCTGGGAGCTCTGAAGAGCATCCGAGGCATCTAGCCTGTGGCTGCCCACGTACTCTGGTACTATTGAGGGAGGACAGTGTACATTTGCAGGTCCTACTTGGCCTGAGTGTCAGTTCTGAGTCAGGGGTCAGGCATGGCCAAAGTCTAAATTCAAGGGTGAATTCTTGTCGTTCTTGCCCTTAAGAAATTTCCATGACAATTGCCAAGTATCCTATTGCACTGTAATGCTCTCAACTAAGGAAGGCAGAGGATCATAAGTTCAAGGCCAACCTAAGCTATGCAGGGAAATCAAGGTCAGTCTTATTTGTGTGGTCAGGAGGCAGGGGAGGAGAGGGAAGGGGCTTTAGTGGCTTTAACTGCAGAGGTCTCCCATCCATTCAGGCTAAAGTGCTAGCAGTGGGGTAATACTCTCTTCTGCTGTTTGCAACTGAAGATTTTCCTAAAGGCAGGAGCTAACCTCAAGCCTGGAATCCTCCTGGGTATAGTATCTTATCCAGAAGTAGAGTGAATTGGATACCATTAAAACACATGGGGCATCCATGAAGAGAAGGACACCCCTCATTGGGTCGTCTTTGAGAAAACTGCCTCCATGCCTTCATTTTCAAGGAGATTAGAGAGGGGAAAGACAGAAGATCCTTGAAGAAGCCCAAAAAGAACTACACTCTAGATTTCAAAGCAAGAGGCAATGCTATTCAGAGATTCTGAAGTCCCTAAGACTACCTGCTGATTTGATGTCACAGGGTGGGGGGTGGGGGAGTCCTTGCCCTGAAGCCCCACTGCTGGGAGGGGCAAACCATGCCATATTAGACAGAGCTTTGTGGTGAATTTTATTGGGGGAAGAGATGAGAGAGAGAGAGAGAGAGAGAGAGAGAGAGAGAGGCAAAGACCTGCCGGCCTCTTCAGAGGAACAGCAGGAAAAAGAGAGTGGGGGTGGGTGGAATTTATCTCTTAAAGGAACGTTTACACCTTCCTACAGAGCCAGAGTACTGCTTGCCATGCATGCAGGGGTCCTAGGTAAATAGGATCCCAAGTAAACAGACCCTCTTATAGTCAGAACATTCCAAGAGCTCTGACCTTATCTCCCAGGAGCTTGAAAACAAGGATCAAAACTTCATTTGGATAAAATCAATTCTTTACTGAACAAATGCTTTCTTATCCCATAATATCAGGCATGAGATTCTTGTATCTTGCTAATAAAATGGAGTCCTGTATAACTCAATAGCTGGCAGCATGCTAATGTTCAAATGGTAGTAATTAATAAACTTCACAGGAGTGGAATATGTTTTCTAACAGTGTCAGAAAAGGAAACCCATGGGTTTTTCTATCCATCATTTTTATCAATGATTTGGATGAAAATGCTATGCACTTATCAGTTTTCTGATGACACCAGTTGAGAAAGGTAGAAATATGTCAGATAACACAGCTGGGCTCCAAAAAGATATCAGCAGCCTTGAGTGATGAGCCAGGCCCTACACGATGAAACAGAACAGAGCCAGGTGGAGGCTCCTCCCCTAGGTCCTCCACACCAATGGTACAAAAATGATGTTGGGCAACTCAGTGAACTGGTATTGAATGTAAAACAGGCTTGAGGGTTGGCCAGAGGGGAGGCCAGGTTGTCAGCACAGCTCTATATTCCCAAAGTGTTGTTCCAACCCAAAATCATCACATTTGAAGGGGCATGAGGGTTGTCTCTGTTACCAGAAAGAAGTGAAGCTGGATGAAGATCTCATCTGAGAAGAGGATCAGTGTGGTACCCAGCATTGAGAAGGTGTATGTCATCAAAGCATCCTGGACCATAGCAAAAGGACCATCTTAACTCTAACAGAGGAAGACCCCAGACTGCTCAAATATGCCCAGCTTCTAGAGGCACCTGTGTACCCACAAAAACCCAGCAAAGGCTGGAGGACAAGTAGGTCCCAAACGCTAGAAGCATGGCGAGTGGATAAAGCCAGAGACACAAGGGAAGACCTGCACCAGCCTCCTCCAGACAGATGCTACAAGGCTGATTCTCAACACCAAGAATGCCCAAGGTGGCCTGGAAGACATCTGTTCTACAGGTAGCAAGGGAAAATCCAAGACTGAGTGACTCAAGACAGGCTCCAAGTTCACAAGTTAATGAGGTAAGGAGAAAGAGTAGTCTCGCTTACCCCAGGCCACACAGCCCAGAAGTGACAGAGGAATGGGCCTCTGTTCTTTTCTGTTCTCTCAAAGATCCTCTCCATGGAGGAAAGTTCAGTGCAACTTCAATGAATTCCTGAAGTTTGGATAGGTTTTATTTCAAACTATCTTAAAGATATGACTGTGTGTACACAGACAGAGTGTGTGTGTGTGTGTGTGTGAGAGAGAGAGAGAGAGAGAGAGAGAGAGAGAGAGAGAGAGAGAGAGAGAGAGAGCAATCTTTCCAGGCCTGAAGACACCTCCTTTGAAAGGTATTATTTTATTTTATCCCTAGCCTCCATATATATTTTTTTCCTTAACAAATCTGTTTTCTGAGATATTAATTCCCAGGATGAATGTTAAAGATTAGGAAGCAGGGCTGGTGAAATAGCTCAGTGGGCAAAGGCACTTGCTATCCAGCCTTACAACCTGGACTTGAGCCTTAAGACCCATGTAGTAAAGGAGAGAACTGAGTCCTTCAAATTATCCTCTGACCAAATATACACACACAAGTGCATGTTTGTCTGCTTGCACATGTGCGTGCACACACACAGACACACACAGAAACACACATACAAGGACACAGTAATAAAAAAATGAAGGACTAGAAAGGAGTCAATGGTGAGAGACTATTAAGTGAACAGTAACATATAGAGCACTCATTCACATAAACACCCCAGGGAATGCAGTTAACAGGTGGATTTGTGGAAGGCTCCAAGTCCCCCCAGTACTTGAAGCACATAATTTTCTCTCTAGTTGAACAGTGAGACTAAATCTCACTCAGATAATACCCAACATCTCTCTTGCTCAGGAGCATCGTGTGTGTGCTGACACAGACGATATGCTCATGACTTTTCACTGGTCATTATGAAGCTGCCTTACAATGTAGGTCAGTGTTGACTAACTGCTCCTCTTGCCCCTCAAAAGCCTTTCTTCACCTCCCCTTTATGTGTAATATTCCTGGTTCTGAGGCAGGGGTGTCACTCAACTCTACATCACTGTTAAAAAAAAAAAAAATTCCCTGAGGTAATCAACTTATAAAGAAGAAAGGTTTATTTTGGTGCAGTCTCTTGACCCCACCCCACTATGAGCCTATGGCAAAACAGAATATCATATCATGGCAAAGAATGGGTAGTTAAACAAAGCCTCAGCCTTCACAGAAGCCAAAGAGGAGTTAGGGAGAAGGAGGCTAGCAATAAAATACACCTTTCAAAAGCGTGTTATCGGGCCTGGAGAGAGAACGTTTAGTGTTTAAGGGCACTGGCTGCTCTTCCATAGGACCTGGGTTCGATTCTTAGCACCCACATGGAGGCTCACAACCATCTGAAACTCCAGTCACATAGGATCTGGTGCCCTCTTCTGTCTTCCTCAGGCACTGAATGCAGATTGTATACAGAGTTACATTTAAACAAACATACATTCAGACAAAACATCTACATACATAAAATAAAACAAAAAAAAAAAGAAGAATAAACATAAATACATCACCAGTGACCTACTTGTAACTAGGCTCTACCTCCTAATAATATTTACTTCAACACCTCCCAATATCCCTGAAACTGGCTCCGAAGTTGGAATAATAAATGTGTGATGTCAGAGTGCTCAGGATATGATCACCTCTCAAGAACCTTACCTATGAATAGCTGACCTGAGCTAGTGGGAGTGCACTGACTCCAGGCCGACTCCTATGAAGATAGGACCAAACTAGGCCCTCTGAATGTGAGTGACAATTGTGTGGCTTGGGCAACCTGTGGGGTCACTGGCAGTGGGACTAGGATTTATCGCTAATTCTTGAACTAGCTTTTTGGAGCCCATTCTCTTTGGAGGGATACCTTTCTCAACCTAGATATAGGGGGAGGGTCTTGGTCCTGCCTCTGTGTGATGTGACAGACTTATTGGGAAGCCTTACCCTCTCTGAAGAGTAGATAGGGGATGAGGGTGGGGAAGAAAAGTGGGGGAAGTAGGAGGAGAGGAGGGAGTGGGAGCTGGGATTGTTATATAAAATGACTGTTATACCTGGGCTAGTCTCTCTTTTCTCTTCTCCGCTAGCTATACAACTTCAAGATGTGAACCAAGTTAATGTGAGGGTGATAGTGTCTAGCTCACGAGGTGCCGGGAGTACTAAGGGGAGTAACAACCACAATGTTCTCAACACAATGCCTGATATATAAAAGATGCTGCTACTGTTATAGAGCC